TTGTCTGCAGTAAGTAGGGCCTTGCCCTTGAATTTCTGATTGTAGTCAGTATTACCATGAGAAGTATTAATCCATCCAATCCACACCAGGCCCTGTGCTGGCTTCAGTTTCACCCAGCTCATAAGATAGCTAGTGAAGGTGTAGCCAGAAGTCTTGCAGGACAAATTCACTGAGGACCCAGGCTTCACCAGCTCAGCCCCAGACTGCTACAGCTGGACCTAGGAGTGGACACCTGTGGGGACAAAGGTAGAGTGGATGTCACTGTCACCTGACTGCATGGCCCCTCCTCATGTCTGGAAATTGGAGCACTTACCTGTAGCTGCTGTCACCAGGAAGAGGATGATCCAGCTCCATCCCATGGTGAGGACCTGTGTGCTCAGTGACTGTGGAGAGGACACTGATCATATGTTGTTGGTGGTATGGACATCCCTGTATTTACCACCATAGACTCACATGATTTGCATATTCATGAACAAGGTACATCTTAGATAAGGACCTAGTCCAGCTGGAGAGGAAGGAGGTGGAGGACACCTGGGTCAGGCAGCAGGATGCTGAGTTCCAAATTGTCATCCTGTCAGAGGAAGTAGTGATTCCTGAGACCTATGCAGACCCTGTGGATATAACATCATGGCCTAATCTCTCCATTTACAATTAGAATACCAACCAAGTCATTAGGTCCTTTTCCTGACAAAATTGATTTACATGTGACGGTTTTAATGAGGATAAAACTAATACTCCTAAATTTGCAATCTTATTTCACATATAATAAGCTATTAATGTTTTCTTTTTCAGCATGCTGCAGGTGTGTGTTTCTTCTGGGTTATTTTGTTATTTAAATTCCTTCCTTTTGTCTATTTGTTTGCTTCCTATAGTGATAAAGAAATGTGGAGTTAAAAGGTTGGTCCTTATATAGGAACAACATAATTATCCTATGTTGAACCAGTTTAGTCAAGATAGTACTTGTTACTAGCCAGAACATCAATCACAAAGAGAAAATGAAGTTCATCCATTGTTGAAAATTGAAAACAATTTATCATTTATGATGACATGAATATATATATATATATATATATATATATATATATATATATATAAAGAGACAGAGATTACAAAAGAAATTAGAACCAATAAACAAAGACAAATGGTGTGAAATACCATAGGCACTATAAATCAATGTTAGATGTATTAAAATAATAACAAAAGAAAAAATAAAGACATTCATACACGATGCCTCCCCAAACTCCACTCCCAAACTCATATACCCCTTTTCCCTAGTATCTATTTACACACATATGTGCACACACACAATTATGCATAAATATATACATACAACCTGCTCAGTTTGTTCATTCTTTAATGTAGGTGATTTCATGGCTGACCACTGCACATTGAAAGTTTGAAAATATTCACACAGTATGAATATGACCATGAGCCCATATAAACTTATGTAGGTAACTGAGTTGCAAGAATACAATAATATTTTAAAAATAGAAAACACCTGATAGCCCTTTCCAAATAATGCTTTTGTGATAGCCCTTTCCAAATAATGCTTCTGTAAGTTCACAGATATATAAAGAAATCCTGCATTTTGAATTTTTTTTATTCACAGATTAATTACACATTGGAATGTTCATCACATAACTTAATATAACTTGTCAGAAATAAGAGATAACAAGGCTGATACACACATAAAGCATTTCATTGGTTTGTCTGTAGACGAGTGTGGTGAGACTGGTGTGCACTCCTCACCAAACAAAACACAGCTTCACCATAAGTTCTCCCAGTCAACCAATAGGCTACATGTGAGAGACAGGAACATGTGTTGATGAGAGGTCTACACCAACATCTGCAACTATTGCAGGATCATTCCCAGGAGTCAAGATAAGAAAAGGACTTCACTATGAAGCTGAGAGTGGTTTGTGGGGTGGGGAATTGAGGAGTTAATGGGATGATTGGCTTATCACTATCATCAAAATATGTCATAAATGCATAAAATGACTAACAATACAATAAAATGATTAAGAAGAAATTAATCACTGTATTTGAGGAAGAAGTCATTGACAAAGAAAGGATGGCATAGAGAATCTATGAGAATACTGTGATGTGGTCTTCAGATGATGAAAACTGTCCTGTGTACAAAATTTAATGTTCCTAAATAAGTTACACCTGTGAAACAATCCAGGGTCATGAAGACAAATGCTGCCTGACCTGAGTTACAGGGAGAATGAAAAGACTGAAATCCTGGTATGCAGAGCATTGTTCTGATTCCCAGAGGCTGAGGTGACAGTGGAAGGGAACAAAGTCAGAAAACACAGGAAATTCAAATTCCACAATTGTTTAATGATGTATATTCAACATTTTAACCAGAAAGGATGACATGTGACAACAAGTTAATATCCCAGCCTTTTGTTTCTGTACCTTATTCATAAATTAAATATAAGGTAAGGTTATTGATTTAGAAAATTGTGATTTGACAACCTGTGATTTTAAAAACCAAACTTCAAAGACAAAAAAACAAATTTCAAAGACTAGTGATAGTATAAAAATGCATTGTTGATGTCTACTCTACTCATGAGTGTGCATAAATAGGACACAAGATTATAATTACTGTGTTGGTGTTTACACAAGTGCATTTCTCATTTTTAAATTTGATTTAATCCAATTTTTGCTCCACACCCAAATTCTCACAGATGCTCCAATACTTTCAGGTTTTTCTCTCACTTAAAATGCAAAACAGAAAAAACACAAATAAAATGAATATTCAACAAGTCCCTGTTTTGTTCTCAAACCTTTCCTCTGAAGTGTGGTTGATGTAACCTGTGTCTCTCTACTTTGGAAAACTGACTTCCACACAGAAGTTTTCAATTGTGAATGGCTTCATTTCTATGAGTAGTTCTTAGTGCCCACTGACACTGCTCCATGTTTGGATTTTGCCTGGCGTGTGTAAGTGGAGCTCTTAATTGGCCTAAAATGTAAAAACCTGGAGTCAGATATAGAGGAAAGATCAGAGAGAAGGAGCAAACCAAAGATACCCTTACATCATTAGCTTCCCAGCAGAAATAAGAGCAAGTTCCAGTTTCTTCCTACTTATATCCTCTGCCTGCCAAGACATTTCACCTTCTTTTTGTCTGTACTGACCTCCAGGCCTCTATGGTTAGCTAGTGGTAAGCTCCCTCCTCTGATCTCCAGACAAGCTTTATTTGTACAAACAAGAAATAACCACAGGCTTGAGCTTCTCTATGTTTTGTTCACAGTGCCAGAGTTCATATGCACATCTGCTAAATAGTGCCCTAGAAACAGTTTCCATGATGCTGTCCAGACCTTGTGGTTCTTGCAATCATTCCAGCCACTCTTCTTCATAGGTTCCTGAGCACTGAGGGGAGGGTTGTGACAAAGACATCCCATTTAGGAATGAGCATGTGAAAGGCTCTCCCTCTCTAAAGGTCATCAAGCTGTGGATTTAATGTTGCTCTTCTTAAACACAGCAAGTGTGAAACAGAACACTGGGGCAGCAGACTGATCTCTGTTATGAAATGCAGAGCCTTTCCTGTCCCTGAGATATGACCTCATCATAAAATACCACCTTCAGCTTTCACTAAGTGGATTCTTGTGGATCTTTTAGCATACAATGTGGAACATCACACCTGGTGGAAAACCACTTTTCATGGACAGGACGAGGTCTGCCCAACCTTCCTGGTCTCATGTAATGGAATCTCTCATTTCCTGCTCTCCCTGTCAGAAATGTCTCCACCTTCTCCAACATCCATGTTCCTTGTATGTTACTAACTGCCAATCCTGTATTCCTTTCAGTGACTGGGGCTGTGGTTGTTTGAGTTGGAAGGTCCCCCAGTGTCTAGAATGTTGAATACTTGGTCCTCTCATAAGGCACTCTTTGGGAAGTACCAGGAGGTGTGGTCTTATTGGAGAATGTGAGTCAATGGGGGAAGGCTCAGAGGTTTTGTAATCTCTTGGGATTTTGACTGTGCCTCTCTGCTGCCTGCTTGGGGATCAAGACATGAGCCACCAACTGCTGTTCCAGCCACTCAGCCTTGGGTTTGCAAATCTTGGACTCGATTGTTGGAAACCATAATCCCAACTAAGTTCTTTCTGTCTTTACATGTTTCCTTCATCACAGTTGGTCTTGCTGTTTTATCACAGCTACAGAAAATTTACTAAGACAAACTTTCTCAGTTTTTTGCACAGTGAGAGGAACTTCTCAGAGGACAAACCTGGAATTTATGTGCCTCTTAGAGAAATGATCTGGCTCTGTCAATGCCAATGTGACACCCCCAGACCCAAAGTGATCTCTGTTAGATTTACATAAAATGCCCAATTGTGTGTGAGAGATTTTCTAGGTGAGTAGATCTCACTTCTCATGAACATTATCATGTGATCAGATGCTGATGTTCAATACCTTCCTGGTGGTGTGACCCCATATTCAGGTCAATTAGAAGACAATAAACCATCCTTGAAATCCCATCTCCACACGGACACTGAACTAACTTTCCTGAAGGACAAGTTTATAAAAATCTCATGATGATCAGAGATGAAATTCATGAGACAGAAACTGAATTAGCTTAAAGCACAGCTGGATCATGTGTGAACCTGATGTGCACCATTGTCAGGGAGGGGAGGGGAGGTTTGAGCCTCGGTAGCACCTGTAATGGGCCCCTTCATACCCTTGATTTCCCTTAAATGTAATGATACTCTAATAAAGAAATCTGACTGAGGATCTGCTTGAATCTGAGAAAAAAGTCACAGGAGCATCCATGTTTCTTAAATAACAGCAGAAACACAGGAGATGTATAGAGGACAACATTCACCCACAGCACAAATATTTAGAGAGACTTTCTAGGGAACTAGAAGATGAAAGGTGCCTAAGCTGCTGAGCAGATTGCTCAGTTATGCCTTTATAGTCTGTGGGATGAACCTGTGTTCGGTGTGTGCTGTGCGCCCCCTTGTGGCCGTGAGCGGCCTCACAGTGAGGTTTTTGTCTGGGTTCACACTGAGATCTCCTCACTGTGTCTAGCACAGTAATAAGTGGCGGTGTCCTCAGACTTCACACTGTTCATTTGCATGTACAGAGTGTTTTTGGCATTGTCTCTGGAGATGGTGAACCGGCCCTTCACGGATGGTGCATAGTTTGTGGTACTGCCATCTTTATTAATATTTCCAACCCATTCCAGCACCTTCCCTGGAGCCTGGCGGACCCAGTGCATCCAGTAGTCGCTGAAGGTGAAGCCAGAGGCTACACAGGAGAGTTTCAGGGACCCCGCAGGCTTCAACAGGCCACCTCCAGACTCAACCAGCTGCACCTCACACTGAACACCTGCAAACATAAAAAATCCTGGTCGAGAAATCATCACACATGTCCATTGTCCCTCAGATTAATGTCCACTCACACAGTCAGCATCTACTGCTCTCCATAAATTACCTTTTAAAAGAGCAACAAGGAAAATGCCCCTCAGGCCCTCCTCCATGCTGATCCCTGAGTGAAGTCTTGGGATCCACAGCTGAGCTCCTCTGTCTGAGCTACAAGGTCAGGGAAGACTGGGCTGCTTTTCATGAGCAGAGAGAGGGCCCATTTGCATGTCTTTCTGCTTTATAGAAAGCTTGTAGTGGAGCCTGTAGGTGTCAGATCCTGGGTTATTTGTGAATGTGCTGGAGGAATCAGATCATGATGTTAATTTTGGGGAATATGTTATAAATTATATCATTTTCAAATCATCTCCTATTATCCCTTTTTCTATAAAGACTCATTTTCATGTTCATTTCAACTCAATTCTCCATGTCTGTGATTACAAACCTCAGTGACATTGCTTTCCTATGCTCATTTCTGTAGGAGTTGGCACTGCTGTGTGGACCTCATCCTTGATGAACATAAAATTCCCTGCATAGCTATAGCTTTGTGTGCAGCTGCTTCCCGAGGTTGGGAAACTCCCTTTCTGTATGGAGGTCATGTGACATGCCTGAATTCCAGTGTTCAGCTAATCACATGTAAAAGTCTTTTCCAGGCAGTCTGTATATTTCTTGTTTTATCATCTAATTCTGTTTTCCTTTGCTGCACGTTTGCTGTTCTATTTGTCCATAGAAGTGGGGACTGACTGAGAAGCTGAACTTCAAGGAGAGCTGAGCTTTGACTTCTGTGTCTGCAGGTGGCCCTGTCAGAGGAGCTGCAGGTGGCAATTGAGGTTCAGCTGTCACCTCACCCGGTGAAGCCCGGATGGATGAATCTCTGATTGGCAAAACCTGGAGTCCACAGACGACAAGATATCTTTTGCTTCTGCTGTTCCGTTTCATTTTTGCTGCTGCCATCTTTCTCTGGTATCTTGAATGGTGTGAATGGGTGTGGGGAGACCCCCACTGCCTGTAATACAGTGTGTTCTCATGTGTAAACATCCCATTCTACTGGACATTTTTACCTGTGCATTATTGTGAAGATGATTTCTTCTTAAGCTGTACTGTCTAATTGATAATAATAAACTTAGTTTAAATATTCTTTTGATAATGAAAAATAAATACAAGGAAATACACAGCTAGCTAGGGCTTATGAGTTTCACCTCCATGGCTACTTAGACTGTAGTTTGGTTAATGAATAAGGAAAACAATTGAGTCCCTGAAGTCAGGCTGTCTCAAATTCTTTCAATCTTAATGTTGAAAGATGCATTCACAGGTTTTGGTGTGCATCAAAGCTGCAAACAAGCATGAACATAACTACAGGTTAGATTAGATGATTTGATAATAGCTTTGAGATGGAATGTCCCAGAAAATAACTAAAGTTCACAAGGACACATAGTTGAGTTATAAATTCATTAGGTTAGGGTCACAAATTCAAAGCAGCCTCATTTTTATTAGCTGACATGCTTTTATGCTCAGGAGGGTTAATGATCAAAGATGATGATTAATATCTTGTACAAATTTCTTCCTTAATCTCTGATATAAAAAGTGATGATGATGGTTTTCATGTATAAATTTAGATTTTTCATTCTTTTAAGATTTCTTATGAGATTACCTTTCAAGTTAAAGAATTAAATGATTGATCCTTTCCTTGTAGCCACAAATTGCAATCTGCCAGTTAAAGAAGAATACCTTGAGAAGAATACCTTGCTTGCTTATGCTGTTAATCTAAAACATGTTGCTTGGGTATGGTTGTACATGGCTTACATTGACAATTTTCTTCTCATCTGTAATATTTAAAATGTCTAATCATATAAGAGATATGGAAAATATATTGTTCTACTTGTTTATATTCACTGTAATTATTCTCTTGAAAATCTGAGTGTAACCACATTGTGATGTTTGTATTGCTTGAAAGATTTTGCTGGGGTATAAACACTGTAGGGGAAAATTAAGAATCAGGAGGAGGGAAACATTTCGAGAGAAAGAAAGTACATTTCTGGATAGAAATGAGACGAGAGAATAGAACTCAGAAAAAGCATAAACAAGGAAACCATCAAGAGAGTGTACATGTCTTTTCCCTTAACCCCCTCAGTTAAAATGCCATAGACCCTGACTCCATGGATTCTGTTTGAGCCTTGTGATGCTGTCGTCTGGCACCCAGGCAGGAAACAATTCCTCCAAGTGACCTGCACAGCCGCCCAGAAGGACATCCTCACTTCCATCACACATCCACTTGTCTTTTATTTCTCAATCTCATTCATGCTCTATCCCAGGCAGTTATAAGTCCTAATTTTACCAGGGATCCTTAAGTTAGGTTTTTTTTTCTAGAGGCTACAGAAGTTAACATACAGGATGCACGTCTGTTTGATTTCTCATTCAGTATATTTAATTATGAAGAATGACACAGGATTGCTTTGTGTGCAGCCTCCACTGTTTGAGTGTTGACTGACATGCTGACAGGACACTTGAACCTGTGGCTCTAATATCTGTTAATTTACTAATTCACATTTGAATGGGCTCCAGGGTCCAGAACTGTAGATGACCCAGATGAGCTCTAGGATATCATGGGAGAACAGTGTTGGCCTCCGTGTTTAGCAACAAGAGTCAAGCAGACTAGAATACAGGCCAGCTCATAGATTTCTGCACATGATATAGACAAAGGAGGGACAGTGGTATTGGGAAGCTTTGGTTTAGAAAACACAGATCTGGGCAGATCTGAACCTGATGGACACTGCAGAGATAGAGGAGGAGAGAGAGAAGATTCCAGACCAGCTAGATTTTATGGTCTAACAATCCTGGCTCTGCCTAAATCCTGTTTTTTTTTTTAAACACACATTCTATGAGAATTATAATCATGAAATCTGACCAAGCCTCTGCCTAGAATGTGAAAATATTCAGGAGTGCCCACCAACTTCTTCACCTTCTGATTTCATTGACAAAGGCGGGGTCCTTTATGTCCTCATCTCTATCAGTTTGCATTTAGTTCATGCGGGACTGTGCCTCATATTTTTATACTAGTACAAAAATATAATGTTTTGAGGACATCGTATCACTTCAGTACATACATGTAGAGAGAATTCCGGGGAAACTTGTTACATTAAAAAAAATGGAGCCATATACTAGAGAGGATCATGTCTGCATTATTTGCTGGACTGAACCTGTGTTTTGTGTGTGCTGTGCGCCCCCTGGTGGCCGTTGGCGGCCTCACAGTGATGTTATTGTCTTGTGTTCACACTGAGATCCCCTCACAGTGTCTATAACACAGTAATAAGTGACAGTGTCCGCAGACTTCACACTGTTCATTTGCAGGTACAGAGTGTTCTTGGCATTGTCTCTGGAGATGGTGAATTGATCCTTCAAGGATGGTGCATACTTTGTGGTACTGCTATCTCCATTAATTTCTGCAATGCACTCCAGCCCCTTTCCTGGAGCTTTGCGGACCCAACCCATCCAGTAGTCACTGAAGGTGAATACAGAGGCTGCACAGGAGAGTTTCAGGGACTTTCCAGGCTGCACTAGGCCACGCCCACACTCCACAAGCTGCACCTCACACTGGACACCTGCAAACACAGAGAATCCTGTCAGGAACTGCCAAACAAGCTTGGTATTTACACCACTCTTGTACGCAAACATACTCAGTACCTATTCTCCATAAATTATCTTTAAACAGAGCAACAAGGAAAACCTAAATCAGCCCCAAATCCATGGTGTGGCTGTTGTTCAGTGCTGATCACTGAATGGCGAGACCGGGGAATCCAGGGCTGGGTTCCTTTGCCTGAGCTTCAGAGTCAGTGCTGGACTGGTTTTCATGAGAAGAGAAGGGCCTTATTTGCATGTCTTCCTGGTATATGATAAGTTCTGTTGTGGGAGCCTAGAAATGACATGTCCTAGTTTGTGTATAAGTGTGATTGGGATAGTCTGGCAATAAAGATAATGGTTGGAAAGTTTTGTATCATATTAAGATATTCTCCTTGGTAAACACAGAGTCTCATCTATTTCATTTATACTGGCAAACAGAAGAAAGATGCATTTTAGTGTTAGTTTCTCCTCAGTTCTCCATGTTCTGGATTATACAGGGCAGTGGACATTGCTTTGTCATGTGCTCTGTAGCTCTTTTCTGTAAGCATTGTCCCTACTGTATGAGCTTCAACCTTGATGGACATGGCACTCCCTGAGTCATATGTAGTCCTGAGTATTGCTCAGGACTGAGGTGGGGAAGCCCTTTTATTGTGACAGAGGTTAGTTTGGTGGAAAAGTTAATATAAATAATGATAGGATGAAATGTTGCCCCTGATAAAACAGGGGCGGCATAGGATTGAAAATAAGAACAATGAAATGTCACACAGTTTGAACATGTGACTTTCTATTGTGGAATCTTACAGACTGTGTCTTAGGTTGATCATTAAGAGAAAGATCTGAGTCCTAGAAGCCCAGCTAGCCCAAATTCTTTTAATCTTAGGGTTGGGATATGTGCTGAGTGTGGGTCCTCAGGAGTTTCTTTCCATCCAATGTAACAGTTTTAAAATTTTTTATACTATCTTCAGTGGTGTGATCAGGAGAGACAGGCACCAAGGTATATGTGTGATCCTCAGAGGACAAATTATGGAATTGAGTTCATGTATCCTATCATGTGGGTTCAAGCAATCAAACTGATGTTGCCAAGTTTGCCAGTGGACAGCTTTACTCACTCACTCAGCTACTTCACAGGCTCTGACAAAATAAAATGAACCCAATGGTATTTTTAAACTGTTTTCTCTCCTGTCATACTGTGCATTTTTTGTTTCACATATTTTGTCGGTATATCATAGTTACAGAGCTGTAGTTTTGGAATTTTTGTGTGCTGGTGTGTAAGAGTATTCATTGTTTTCTTTTTGTTTGGTCTTATTCCCTTTGCTAAATATATTTTGTCTATTAGTATTTTCCTGGAGAGAGAGACAAGGTGTAGAGTTGGATAGAAGAGGATATATACATCAAAGATCTAGAAGGAGTAGATGGAGGGGAATCAGTGACCAGAATATATTATACAAATGCAAAATGTAAACTGAACAAAATAAACAAGAATATAAAAAAACAAAAAAATTAA